TACCAGGGCTCCTAATAAATGAGAATATCCAAGTTATTGAATGCCTACTGTGAGCTAAGTCGACCATGCCATACATTTTTTCAACAGCTTTATGAATTGCCCCTTTTACAGAATGAAATGGGTCAAAGAGCTTGTCACTTATCCAAGGCCGTCTAGCTACAAAGTAGGAGAGGCCGGACTCCAGTCAGGCTCATCCGGCTCGCCAGACTGTGCTTTGCCCCACTCATTCTGTTGCCTTGATAAGGACATTGATGGTGGTGGTGGTGGTGGTGGTGGTGGTAGTGGTAGTGATGGTGGTGACGGCAGCGCCTTCTGACATTTACAGAAGGAATGCTTATGCTGTGTCAGGCACCATGCCAAGTGCCTTTATGTTTCTCTTTTTTTGTGTGCTCCATGAGATTTTTAATGGTTGCTCTTTTGTTTTGTTTTGGTTTTTTAGTTTTCATTTTATTAGGGGCTCATACAACTCTTATCACAATCCATACATACATCAATTGTGTAAAACGCATTTGTACTTTCATTGCCCTCATCATTCTCAAAACATTTCCTCTCCACTTAAGCCCCCGGCATTAGGTCCTCATTTTTCCCTCCCTCCCCGCTATCTAGTTGATCCTCATAACAACTCTAGGAGGTGGGGGTACTATGATTGCTCCCATTTTCTAGAGGGGCAAACAGAGGCTCAGAGAAGTTAATAACCATTTCCCTCAATGTACAGAAAGCGCCCTGGTGGTGTAGTGGTTCCGCATCGGGCTGCTAACCGCAAGGTCAGCACTTCAAAACCACTAGCCACTCCTCAGGAGAAAGACAGGCCATAAAGAGTTAGAGTCTCAGAAACTCAGGGAGGCAGTTCTACCTTGCCATTTGTGGTCGCTAGGAGTCAGAATCAACTCCAGGGCAATGAGTGTGAGTGTGATTTTTGTTTGTTTGAATGCCCAGTACCTACTGAGTGGAGGCAAGTGATGATCATCCACTATGCCTGGAGACTGCATTTTGGCCACCTGCCACCTCTCTCCAAAACGGAAGATGGCAAAGGTACAGGACTAGGGCCTTCTCTGAAAATGGCTTGATTTTTGAAGCTCAAAAATCTTGGGGCTTGGCCTTGCCCTGCTGTGACTCTTCCTCATCCAAGGACACATGAGCTGTGATCACACTGCTTCTCCCAGGGGCAGCGCCCGACGCGCCTTCAGCCAGGTAGCCTTCCTTCATGATTGTCTTTCTAGTCAGGGGAGGCCCACACCAAGTCTTCGGGGGACTGGACCAAGGTTCAGAAATAGCCCCCTAATCAGCCTCATCCCCTTTGCAGGAGGCCATCAAGAGGGGACTAAGTAGGCCAATACTTTAACCCAGTTCTGCCAGGGCAGCTGTAATCTGGCCTGATCGTGTCTTGCTAAACTCTCAGGGGATGGGGAGGGGAGGGGAGGCCCACAAGCTACTTCTGCCCAAGGATTCTAGAATCGGGGCACAGACATGTCTGTTCCTTTGGGAAAGAGCTTGACCTCAAGGATTCGCCTGCATCTGAGAGACTGCTGGGACTGAAGAAAGGGTGCTAGCCATTTCCAACTGCTATGAAATGCCCATGGCTCAGGCTCCACTTTTCCTAGCAAGGCTCACTACCTCACCTTTCTTCCACCTTGCTGGGGGAGGTGGGCACATCCAGTTTCCTTTATATGTGTGTCAGGCAGTTGGGGGTGTGGGCACGATGGGCCAGACTCTTACCACTCCCCTGCCAGTTCACCCCTGGCAATGCCCAGCCCCAGGAGCTAGCCTTGGAAGCCCGCTGAGCTGTCTGGCTAAGCTGAAGTTGGGAGATCATGAATCCAGAGCTACTGGGTCGACCAGCTGGCCTGGCCTGGCCCCCTCCTCCTCTCCCCTCCCTGCCCCTTTGTTGGCATGGTGGACTTCCTTGTACAGGTGCCCTGTTTCTCGTCCTTTCACAAACCCCAAACCCAAAGCTGAGTCAACAGGCAGCTCAGCAAAGTGGGGGTCTCTCTCTTGTCAGGAAGCAGAACTCTAGCCTGGCCTGGCTAGGGGTGGGAGGGTGGATGGAGGACAGCATGCCTGAGCCTGGCTCTGTGCTGAAAGCTGGTTGCTAAATCGCTCCTGAGGGGGTTTCTTGAGCGAGAGGGGGACTCTCGGGGGGAAGGGGTCTCCGAATTATCAAGGATGACTTCTTATCAATTCTGAGAAGCCTTAAAATGTACAATGTACGTTATATTATGGCTCAAAGAAAAAGAAGAAAAACACATTACTGGCTATCCTCTGGCATCCCGTGGAGTGTAAGATGCTTCTCAAGTTGGGTAGGTATGAAAATGTAAGAGCAAAAAAATGGTTATGAAGGATAAAAAAATTTCTTAGAACTAAGGTGATACCTCTGCTATATACATTATATATATATATATAAATATACACCTAGACACATACCCACACACCACATACCACAGAGCCCAACCACACCATGGGGAGTGCACTCAAACCCCTATGTACCTCTGGGCCATGAGAACAGGCACAGTCACCAACAAACGAAATAAACAACCCAAACTCACTGCCATTGAGTCGATTCTGACTGCTGGCAACCCTATAGGGCAGGGTAGAACTGCCCCTGTGGGATTTCAAGACTGTAACTCTTTACAGAAGTAGAAAGCCTCTTCTTTCTCTCTTGGAATGGCTGGCCATTTTGAAATGGTGACCTTGCAGTTAGCAGCCCAAAATGTAGGCACACCGCCACCAGGGCTCTTAGGACGTGGAAAACCAGCTGGACCCCGTGCCTACCCCTCTCATCTTCCACCCTCATCTCGAGGTCTGGGGAAGGTTCACGTGGTACAGATGGTATTGGTCCTCCTCTTCACCCAGGGTCCCAACCCCAAAGGAAAAGCGCCTGCAGAGAGCCTCAGCAAGACAGCAGCCCACAGGCTGGTGTTTGAGGTGCCTGAACAAACAATGGCATCCTGGCACGGAAGGGCCATGGCTGCTGGGATGAGGTCACAATGGTCCATTCCACAGGGATGAGGTCATTGCTCTGTAAGCGCTTTCTGTGTCATGACCTCCTGTGCCAGGGGCTGGAGCATAAGGGAAGACTTGGGGCCCATCCTGCCCTTGGGCAGCTTTAAATTCCCTGAGGGAGAGATACCAGGAATGAATCACAAGTGGCTGGGTATCTTCCAATCTGTTCCAACTCAAACTCACTTCCCTGCTATTGAGTCAATTCTGACTCTAGAGGACCCTACAGGACAGGGTAGAACTGCTCAGAGGGGGGTTCTGAGGTGGTCACTCTTTCAGGGAGTCAAAAGCCTCATCTTTCCCTTGCTGAGAGGCTGGCTGGTGACTTCCAACTGCTGACCTTGTGATTAGCAGCCTAATGTGTAACCCCTGTGCCACCAGGGTCCGTCGGGAAGCAGACAGAGGGGGCGGGGGAAGGGACAGCATGCTAGAGCCAGGTTGTATGCTGAAAGCTGGCTGATAAATCCTTCTAAAGGGGTTGTCCCAAGTGAGAGGGGGACTCTCAGGAGCAAGAGGAATCCAGGTTAGCAAAGATGGCAGCTTATGAAGTCTAAGAAACCCTAAGGAGTTCTGACGGTGTAGTGAGTTATGCATTGGTTAGGCTGCTAATGCAAGGTCATCAGTTCAAAACCCCCAGCTGCACTGTGGAAGAAAGACAAGGCTTTCTACTCCCTTAAAGGGTTACAGTCTCAGAAACCCACAGGGGCAGTGTTAGCCTGTCTCATAGGGGGGTTCAAAGGCAGCGAGTAAGAAGCCTTTGAATTGTCTGATGTCCATTATTTTAAGTCTCACTGACAAAGAAAGAATATTTAAGAGTCACTGGTTACACTCTGTCCTACTGAGTATAAGATGCCCCGTCCCACTTGGAATGCACTGGCCAGGAGTTCAACTGGAGTCTCTTGCATGGAAGGTACGATTTCTACCATTCAGCCGCCACTGCCCCTAAGGAGATGCAAGTAAAGAGCTCAGCCTCATGCCTGGTCCATCTAAGTAGCAAGAACATTGCTTGTAGCTGCTGCACTGTCAATGGAGAGCTTGGTGGGGGCTGGGGGGGTGCAGCAAGGGATGTATAATGCCTCATCCAAACTGGTGCCTTTGTAGACAGACCAGGATCGGGGTGGTGTCAGGGTGATGCGTCGGGCAGCTAAATATAAGGTCAGCATTTGGAAACCACCAGCCACTCTGCAGGACAAAGATGGGGCTTTCTACTTCCATAAAGAGCAACAGTCTCAGAAACCCACAGGGCCATTCTCCTCTGTCCCATAGAGTCGCCAGGAGTCAGCATTGAATGGATGACATTAAGTTGGGTTCTTGGTTTTGTCTCAGTCATAGCCTGGATGCCCCATTCCTGGCCAATCAGGAGAGCCCTCACCCCCTCATCCCACCCCCCACCCCCACGATATCACTTGGGCTAGCTGGGGCACTTCAAGGAGCAGCAGCACCCAGTAGGGTAATAAATGAGGGTCAACTGAATCACAGTCATCATAGGACACTCAGCAGGTGGCTTTGGGATGACCAACTCAATGGTCTCCAGGAGGGCAGGATGATCATGGTCTCTTTTCCCCATGGTACAGTGTGACCACCCTGCTGTACTATACCAAGCACAGAGGAGATCCCTCAGGGAGCATGGGTCAGGTATTCCTGAACACTTGGAGAGGTGGCCTCTGTAGCTCAGTAATCCCCCTTGACCCAGCTGGCAGTGGGCACCCGTGGTGGAGGTCAGCAATAAAGGGTCAAGCAGCTGGCTCCTACCACAATGGCTGGGCTCAGAGGGCCCAGTGAGGGTGGAGGGGCACTGGACCCCTATAGCTACTAGGCAAAGCCAGGGGCTTTCCATGAAGGCTCTAGAAGGCAAGGCCAGGGCTTCTGGCTTCTCCAAAATCTTTTCATAATGGTGAACCAAGGCTGCACATGGTAATGGCAAGGGCCCGGTTAAGGATCCTCCTCTTGTTGAGATCTTCAACCACCGAAAGCCCTGAGACTGAAAGGCAGCACGCAAAGGACACAAATTCATGACCTTTTATTTCCAAAGGTGACTCCAGACACCAGTTCAGTACAATCAAAGGGTTTTACAAATCAGAGAAAACGCATTACAAAATGCCCCCAAGAGGTAGAGCAAACCTGGTGGGGGTGGGGGGAGACCATAATACCCAAGAACCAGCCTTCCCCAAACACTGAATCCCACCCCAAACCCCTCCACCCACTGTTGAGGGCAACTCGCAAAGAGTAGTTCAAAAGAGGGCGCCCGTGGGGGTGGGGGTAGAGGTTGGGGAGGGGAGAGAAGGGGGTGACAGCGAGAGGTGCACTCAGTGCATAGCAACTCCAGCTCAGGAAGGGAGAAGAGGGGGAAGGAGGAAGGATGGGAGCAGGAAGAGGAGGAAGAGGGACAAGTCCTTGGCAGGAACTAGTCCAGATCAGTGCATCTTGGCTCTCTGGATCACCAGAGCACGGAGAGATCTGAAGAATGCTTGACAAGGGAACCCCAACTGGACACTGAAGGCAAAGAAAGCACTTCTAAAAATAACAGCTTGGCTTAGTTTTTGCTCCCTGTTTTGGGGGGGTGTTTTTTTCATCCCCACCCCTGGACTCCCCTCACTGGAGTTGATTTGTAGGTATGCTGTATCCCACAAGTAACACACCAGTGTTACCAAAACGTCACAGTCGAGCAACAAGAAGCAACTAGGTGTTTCTGAGTCCGCACAGGCTCACTCGATATACACAAGAGAGTTGTTTGCTCCCTTGGGCCGCCTCTACCTACATCAGAGAGGGCAGGGCAGGCAGGGGTGGTGGTGGGAGGCCCCCTCTCAAGTTGGGGTTTGCAAAGGAGCCTGGGAAAAGCCTGTAGGTAACCCTCCTTCGTATTGTCACTAAAGGTCTCGCTCTTTGCCCCTCTCACTTCCCTCTTTCCCCTCGAGTAGAAACCAACAAGAAGACCTTCAGACAACACTTCCAAAGAGGACACACGCTTCAGACCTCAACTTCTGCAAACCCTGGGGCGGAGGGAGGGAGTGAGGGAGGGAGGGAGGGAGGGAGGGGAAGGGTCTGCGTACAAAGATCAGCTGTTGCCCAGGGGTGGGGAGCACTGTGCCCACTGCACAAAACACTGAATTTGCCATGATCACAAGCATACCAACGCTGACAGAGGTGACTGACTGCCAAAGGGGTTCTATCGGAGAGCTAGGCTGAGGTCCTGGAGGATAAAGTGTGGATCGCCCTGAGGGTCTCACCGGCCCTGTGTGAAGGCGAAAAAACCTACAGGAGGACTGGAAGGTTGGCTCAGGGACCTGAGCCGTGGCTTCAGAAGCAAGGTGGAGCCTGTTGCAAGCTAACTGAGGAACATGTCACTCTGCCTCAGGGAGCAAAGGTGGCCAGATCATCTTTGGTGCAGAAAACCAAATACTCAGAGTGGGTTGGGGGAAGTCGGAAGGGTGTGTCAATCCCTCTGCTGTTCTGGGTTGATGTCACGAGTTGGCCAGTGAAACAGCATGTTCTCATGGGCCTAGATCCTTGGCCAAGGCCACCTGAGGACTTAAGGGAGCCTCTTTGCCTTTCCTGGCACTATTTTCAAGGAAATGGGCTACTTGTACAAGCACTCTTTATACACTCACACACATACGGGGCTTCCATATGTTGGCCAATGGAGTATGGGAACTTGATCTGGGTGGCATGGGGGCCACCTTGGCAATGGCAGGAAAGCCCTAGAAAGGAGAGGGTCAGTCAGGGCCGACTGGCCACCAGGTGTGGCAACCTCATTCCTGGTGCAAGGCTGGGGGCATCAGGCTGGCAGTTGGTTAAGTAGGGGAGCCAACTCCCAAAGCAGGTGTCCAGCAAAGTTGCTTTTCTCCCCATGAGCTGGACCCCAGGTCTCTCCTATGGCAATAGCCCCACTGCCCACTATACTCACTCTATCCCAGGCCTGCCCACTGTGCTCACGTGAGTCGGAGCCAGCCTAGAGGCCTGATCTTGCTCCTTCGCTTTCCTGCCAGGTGGGTCTGTGGCTGGCCTGGCCCTACCTGTCATGTGGCTTTCACCCTCTTCTAAGCGGCAGAGGGTGTCAGCCATATGGGGCACTGAGCTGTGGCCAGGGCAAAGGCAAGCCTTGCGAGTTGTCCCAGTGTGGGCAGAGGGCGAGCTGATGGCCACAGGGATAGGGAAGAAAAGACAGCCTGCCGAATCACACCCCTGTGGCTTGCCCGAGCTGAGGACCCACCTCCCCCCAGCATCTGCCTGTAGTCCCTGGACAGACTGCTGGGGGCAAGGCAAGGCCCATGGGGCTCCTCCCCCGACCTCCTTCCAACTTTGCCTCTTGTGACCAGGCCAAGGGGCACTCAACCCTAGCACATTTCCTCATCAGCTAGTTCTATGCGCCTCGGTGTGTGGGGAAACAGAGTCATTTAGTGATGGCTCAATTCTTGAGTGGGGGCTGGGGCTGGCAGGGAGCGGGCCTTCCCAAAGGGCGAAGCCCCTAAGAAAAGCTTGACCAAGTCCTCAAAGACTTCTAGGAAATGCTGCTTCGGAACCCTCAGGAACTACGTTGTCCCTGTCTGCCCTCGCACTCCCACAGACAGTGGTGCCTCCATGCCAGCTGTCCCCACAATCTAGGGGTCCTGGGATTGCAACTCTGGGTCTGTTCCCTCTGAGAGACCCTCCTGAACGCTGCTGTCTCCTATAGACCCGTTTATGAAATATCTTGAGCACTGAGTCCCTGAAGCTCCACTGAGGTCTGATACATCACCACTGGAAATGCAGGAACTAGCTCACAGCCACTAGTTGTCCAGAGGGGGAAAAGGGAGAGGCAACTCATCAGAGAAAAGCCACTGAATGATCCTGCCTGTTCTAAAGCCAACCTGTGCTTCGTAGGAGGCATGTAATCCAAAGAAACCAAACTCACTGCTAGTGCATCAACTCTACCTCACAGCGACCCTGGAAGGACAGGGGAGAACCACTCCAGGGAGTGTCTGAAGCTTTACAGGAGGAGAAAGCCTCTTCTTTCTCTTGCTGAGCTGCTACTGGTTTCCAACTGCAGACTTTTGGGTTAGCATCCCAGTGAGTAACCCATTACACCACCAGGACTCAGCCAATGCCCAGTCCCTCTCTTTTTTCTTGAGGCCCATGCACCCTTGAGCTCAATCCTTGCCATAAAGTCATATCCTAAAGGGCCTCCTTACCGAGGACTTGAACCTTGACTAGTGGGGACCCGATGCCTAGCTGCCTTCATCCCTGCCTAGACAGGGGTGCTGGGAGGGGCAGGGTGAGGAGTTCCTCCATGTGAAACAAGTCAGCACTGAGTCTTCCCTCGAGTAGGTAACCTGGCCCGAGAGGAAACATGTTGCCAGGAACGTTGCTTAACTCGGACTGCTGACAAAAAATGGCAAGAGATGGGCCCACAGGAGCCCTGGTAGGACTGGACCCTGCTCCACGGCTTCTCCCAACTCACACACCAAGACCACATCAAAACGCCAGTGCATTCTTTCCTACAGCTGCCTTTCTAGAAGAGAGCGGGAAAGAGAGGACATTTAAGAGCCACTGCAGATTCACAGGGGAGCTACGATCAACGTGAAACTGAAACGGAGCCAGTGGTTCAAATCACAGTTCTCTCAAGTCACCACTTGCGTTGATGAATTGCCAGGCCCATGTCAGAGGAGCTCTGGGTAGGTCAGTTCTCAGCTCTCCTGTGCAGCATTGGCACAGGGGCTTGGCCAGTGTGGACATGGTTTCACTTTGTTCCCTTTGGATTTATCATGGCAATCACTCTGCCCCCACCCTTCTCTTTCCCCCTAAATGGAATCTAGGCCTTGGCCTGGGTGATGGCCCCCACCTGCCACCCCAGGCAGCATGCTGGAGGGGAGCGGCCAGTTGGCTGCTTGCTTTGAATCATGGGCCACCAGTGCGAAGAATCTCGGGCAGTCCTACTTTGGCTGTGAGCTAGGACATCCCTATGCTTTGGGCTTACTGCTGGTATAGAAACAAGGCCTCAGTCCCCTGATGATGAGGCTGTGCTGGGGACAAAAGGGGACACCCCACCCCTACCTCGCATAAGCCTGGAGGTCCCTGGCAGTGTAGAAATGAACCACAACCCAGTCAGTCATGTGACTTAAACGCCAAAAAGAACGACTGCTTTCTGTTCCCTTTCTCCTTAACCAGCTATTAGTAAAAGCACCCAACGACCAAAGTGAAAGAGACACCAACTGCCATCTCCCCATGTAAGGCCACTAGGAACAGGGAGGACAGTCAAAGGGAAGAAGGACAATTCCACCACCACCCCTCCCCCCAGCACTTAAGGAGAAGTCCTGGGAGGAAGGACTGGGGAAGGAAGAATGGTGGAAGAAAGGGACACAGGAGGGGAAAAAAGAAAAAGACAAAGAAAAGAACTGATTGTTCTCCAAGTCAAGTTGGGAATTGCTTCCTCAGGGAGGAAAAACAAAACAAAGAAGGAAAAAAAAGGAAGAAAGAAATACAACCACCTTCAGTCTATTTTCTTGGCTGGAAGCCGGAGCAAATCCAGCAGATATTTACACAGGGGCCCAGCCATGTATGAGAACAGGATGACCAGCTTCCCGTGGGTCATGGTCATGAGAGTCTGGTGTCCCGAGGCCCAGACGCGATACCACGGGCCGTAGAATGGGTCTGAGATGGCCGGACACAGCATGTTGTTCAAATTCACTTCGGTGACCTGCAGGGACAAGGGAGGTAGAGTGAGCGTTCACCATCCTTAGGCTTCCTCTGGCTTCTGCCAGTTCAGCCATCTCTGTCTGGCGGAGGACTAGACAAGGAGGGATTGGACAATCCCCACCTGTTCATAAAGGGATTTCTCTCACAGAAGGTTTGTGGGGCGGGTCAAAGCCAGGGGAGAAAAATGGGGGGGGGGGTAAAGGGCTGGCTGTCCAGGGTCAAGGTGGTTCTGTTCTGTACTATCTTATCTTCTCGTTGGGCCTGGAGCCCATGGCCATGGCCATGCCTAAGTACCTACTATGTACCTAGATTTGGGAAAAGGGTTGAGGGATGTAAAAGGAGAAAAGAACAGTATGGTCCCTGCCTCCACCTAACTTAGCATCAAGTAAGTCGGGAGGGTCAGTCGTGCACAGCTGACCTCAAAGGAGATGGTGCTCACTGTGCTCCACAGTCCAGAAGTTCAGAGGACTATCATGCAATGGACGCTGAAATCTTCAGAAAAAACACATTTCTTGAGGGAAGTGGCACCTGGATGGGTTCATGAAAGATGGATGACGAGCAATGGGGTGGGCATGGCCTTCCTTATAGGAGGTGTGGCCTGAGGGAAGCCCAGAGGTGGCGGGGAGGCTGCACATGGTATGCATGGTGACATGAAGACACTGTCTCTTCTGGAAGAGCACTGGGAGGGAAGGGTGTGATGGTCACATAACTTTTTCCCTAGAGCACAGGAAACATTTAATGCACTTGGCAAGGAGCTCAAACTCTGCCCCACCCACACAACCCCAGCAAACCACAGAGGGGCCAGGGTGAGTGAGAGGAGGGTGTAAAATTAAGTACTTCTCCAAAAGGCCATGGTGACGACCTCACTTCCATGCTGTAATCATGCAAAATCACTCAAGGCTCCACGAGGCTGCTGCTACGTTCATACCACTCAAACACAAGGCTGCCGTGCAACGCCTGCCCCGAGGACGGCCCCAGCACTGCCTCCCAAAGCCCTTCAAGCCCATTCCCATTAGAGACATGTCCTCAATACCTCTCTGCGAGGTTTAGTTATTGTTGATTTACTGTGTCATAGAAAGTTGGCTCAGAGGATCAGGGGCCTGTGCCGATTAGAGGCAGAGCCAGGACCTGAACTTGGGTCTCTTGATCCCCAGTCCTATTCTGCAACTCTTTCTACTTATTTTGTTACCAAGACACACTCTTGCGCTCAGCAATTGTGGGTTCTAGATCATTCAACGACTAAATCCAGCCATTCTCCACACTCCAGGACATTCTGCATAGCACCCCGCCCCTCCCCGAATGCCTCAGGAGGACCCTCAGCACTACGCTGCTACTGGGCACACAACTCTGCACAGAATGCTACAGTGCCTGGGAGCAGGGACGGCACAGCCACAGAGGCAGTAGCTTTCCTTAGGCCCAGGGCCTAGGTTGTGGGGTGGGGGTGGGGTTCCTGCCACCCCATGGGGTCCACAGAAAATCACTTTCCAGTTGCAACTCCCAGTTTCCAGCCCAAATGGCCATGGGTAAAGGGGCAGCCTTGCCTCCCCAGGGATGAAAGATGCAGTCATTCCCAAAAGATTCCAAAAACTCTTTGGAGAGGTCAAGGCTGGAGGATCATAAATCAGCAACCCAGACACAACAAGCTGACGTCCTGGCCTTTAGCATCCTGTAGTTTTTCAAAACACAAGCAATATACCAGCGCCAACCAGGATTATCCAGATTTATGGAGACTGCTCCAAACAGAGGGAAGAAACAGGCATATAACCCAACTTACCAGGCCCAGGATCTGCAAGATGCTGAAGTGGTAAAAGAACATCAGGCCAGTGGAGAGAAGGGCCCAGTGGAAGCTGCTGAGGGGTTCCGGGGTATAAGCACCTGGAGAAAAAAGGGAAATCATGAGACAGCAGGAACCATGGCCTTGGCCCCATGAGGGTACAAGGGCTGAGGTCACAGACACTGCCTGCTGAATGCCCCTTTTGGCTGATCGGCGGAGCGATAGCCAATCAAGAAAGGCCCGCTGATGAGCCAGGTACTCAAATCCACAGAGCTTCTGTTCTGCCACTTTGATTCTGTGGCTATGAACAAGAGAGAGGCTTTTTTTAAATTATAAAAATAGTACATGCTCATTAAAAATGTAGCAGATAGAAGGCAAAAGCCGGGGAAAAACAATAACCCCCTTTCTCACGAATCTGAAAGCAATCACTGCGGGCACATGGGTGTGGTTCCTTAGGATATATGTCTTCCTGGTATTCTGATGAAAAATTATAATCGCTATGAAGACAGCAACTGAATTAATAATGACCTGGAGGCACAGATTGGGAGGTTGGGCGGAAATGGGGAGTCCCCAGCAATGGGTACAAGAAAGAAGAAAATGTTCCCAAGTAGATTACAGTGATGATTGCATGGCCCTTCTTAACATGATTGAGTGATTGAATTGGATGATAGGTTAATTATAGTTCAAAATCACTTGGTTAAAAAAAAAGATTTAGAATTGTTCCCTGTGTGTGTGTAATTGTGGAGCATTCTTTTTAAATGATTTTAACCACTCTTGCAGGTTTCTAAAGAAAAATGCCATAAAGGAAAGGTGGTGGTCAAGAAAATCAACTTAAACATCAGACTAATTGGGGTTCCAATCCAGCTTTACCACTTGTGTGACTTCGAAAACAGTGCTGAAACTCCCTGAACCTCAGTTTACTTGCCTATTAATGGCTATCATCTGACTCTACTTCTTAGACATGTTAGTAAATATATGCATGTATTTAGAGCTCCTAGTCCAGGCTCTGGTATAGTGAATGAGAATGTGATACGCGATCATTAGTTTTATCCAAATAACTTCAAAATATGCAAAATGGTTGTGCTCTTTCCCAACCATTAGACAACACTGCCTCCCCTGTACTACTGAGAATTTTATATTATATTATATTATATTTTATATATATATATGTTTTTAGTCTTCATAACCCTGAGATCAGAACTAAATGGTGCTCAGCTACCACTACCAACTACTTTAAAAGAGATCACACTAGAAGGTCCTGGACAGAATGGGGAATAAATGTGGAACAAAAGTCAAAATCATTAAAAAATAATAAGAAGACCAGCTTTACTAGTCAGATAGAACCTGTGGAGTCATGACAAGAGCTCTTAGTCCCCACCCCCCCTTCTGGAACTCTGGAGGTCGGAACTCAACTCAGCCTCCTCGCTCAATCTTCAGGCACACAACAGGCAAGTGTAAGAGGGGAACGGTAACACTCGAGGCAGGCGCACTTTGACACAATCAATCGTTTGAGATCAAGGGGGCAATATTTGCCCAAGGACAGAGTTCAAAAGGCTTAGGTGAGAAGGAGGAGTGGAGAAACACAAGAAAGAGGTGGGGGTGAGTGCATCGAGAGGATTACAACAAATAAAAGGAGGCAAAATGCATATGAATTGTTGAATGTAAAACTGTTGAGTGTAAACCTTCACCCAATCACAATAAAGAGGGTTTTTGTTGATGTTAATTTTTAAAAAGGTTTTTCCCGATCACCATTAGGAACTACCATCAAGAATAATACATTTCCCCAGCAGTATGACCTCCAGTCTATCATCCCAGTAGATTGGGTTTGAAGGGCAGGGGTATAGCTTTTGGATGTGATGACTGTCCCTCTGGGAGAGAAAACTGGGAGTGGGGTGGCAGGGCGAGCTCCAGAGTAAAAAGAAACTGCATGCCCACCCCGTCGGTGGCGGCATCACATCCTGGAGTAGTGTGTTTTATTCTAAGTTGGCTTCACATTGATTCATCCATTCATTCAGCACTTGTTAAGTCCATTACCATCAAGTCAATTCCCACTCATAGTGACCCTTTAAAACAGGACCAAGCTGCCCCACAGGGTTTCCAAGGCTGTAATCTTTATGGACACTAACTGCCATGTGGCTCTGCCATGGAGTGGCAGGTGGCAATCAGCAGCCAAGTGCTTTAGTACTATGCCACCATGGCTTAACAGTTATCAGGCACTTAATATATTCATGTCAGAGAAATGCCTGGCAATTCGCTTCCCAAAGACCACAGACGTGAAAACCCTATGGAGTGCGGTTCCGCTCTACAACACATGGTCACCAGGTCAGGGAAGACTTAACAGCATCTGGCTATTATATTTTGAGTCCTGTGCAAAGCTCTGGGGGTATAAAATCAAAGATAAGGGTCCTTTGCAGTCTCATATGCAGAGTCTGCTAGGTGAGGCAGAACCAGATAATCAGCAATTACAACATAGGATGGTGGAAGAATTCGCCAAGGTTTGTGTCACGGTACTATGGAGCCCTGGTGGGGGTTTGCATCAGACGTTGAGCTGCTAACCACGTGGTCAACGATTCAAACCACTAGTGGCTCTAGAGGCAACAGATGAAGCAGTTTGCTCCTGTGAAGACTGACAGTCTCAGAAAGCATATGGAGCACATCTACTGTATCCTATAGGGTCGCTATGAGCTTTTGGTGTCACAAAGTGTAGGAGAGCAGAGGCACAGTTTGGGGTGGGGGTCAGGAGAGAGGAGGGACAGGAAATGCTTCCGGATAGAGCAGTGGTTCTCAACCTTCCTAACACCACGACCCTTTCATACAGTTCCTCGTGTTGTGGTGACCCCCAACCATCAAATTATTTTCATTGCGACTTTATACCTGTCATTTTGCAATGGTTATGAATCATCATGTAAATATCTGATATGCAGGATGTATTTTTATTGTTACAAATTGAACATAATTAAAACATAGTGATTCATCACAAAAACGGTATGTAATTATATATTGTGACATATTTATTTCTAATGATAAATCAATGAAATTTTGTCTTGAAGCATGGTGTAGCATGGGTAACAGTCTTCACACCGGGTACTCTTATGTGGGCGTACCTCAATGTGGGTGGACCCGCCTGGAGACGGATAGCGGAGTGGTGTCTCGGTTCCTAAGATCACTGGAAATATGTGTTTTCAGAGGGTATTAGGCGACCCCTGTGAAAGGGTCATTCAACCCTCAAAGGGGTCGCAACCCACAGGTTGAGAACTGCTGTGATGGAGGGAGCACATAAGTAAAACCCTGCAGGAAAAGGGGAACTTAAAGAGGAGCTAGCCAAAAAGAAAAAAAATGTTTAGAAAGTGATGGCAGCACACATACAAACGTGCTCAATACAACAGTTGTATGGATTGTTGTAAGAGCTGTAAGAGTCCCCAATAAAATGATTTAAAATAATAAAGAGGGGCTAGGCCTGGTGGTGTTGTGTGTTATGGGTCAGGCTGCTAACTGCAAGTTCAACACTTTGAAAGCACCAGTAGCTCTGCGTGAGAACGATGAGGCTCTTTATTTCCATCAAGAGTTAGAGTCTCAGAAGCCCATCAGGGCAGGTCTACTCCGTCCTACAGGGTCGGATTTGACAGTGGCGGTGAGTTTGAGGCATTCCAAAGCAGCTACATGGACAAGAGTGAGAGTGCAGCAATGTTGAGAGCTGTGGCTAAACAAGAGTTCCCTGTGGCTACAGGTGGAGCATGTGATGAGGCAGTGAGCAATGCAAAAGCCAAGAAGTGGTCAGCTCCAGGCTAGGTAGGCCATGTAGGGCCTTAGAAGCCATGTTGGGCATTTAGGCTTTTTGATAGTTACATAATCTGGCGTCAATTTGAGACTTAATGAGTTGAAGGGGTGGAGTTTAGCCTGTCAATCAGGCGGCATCTTAATGACCTCATTTGGAGGTGTGAAGGAGATAAATAGCTCGCTGGAGGCAGGACAGATGCTGACTCCCAGAGAGACACTCTTGTTTACAAGCCATATGGAGACAGGCTGATGGCAGTCAGAGCCTTGGAGCTGAAGGAACCACGTGGAGGTCCCTGCCAGCACTGAGATGCCTCTACCACCACTGGATCCACTAGACTTTGCACCTACTGGCCTGTGATCTTCCTGCATTCAGTGCCATGGCATGTGTTGTGTGAGCCTGAAGAGGAATTTATACACTGGTACTGGACATATGGGCTAATATCGGATTTATGAACTTGATCTGGACTGGACTGGATGTTTTCTCAATATTCAATTGCTCTTGTGTATAAAGCTTTTTCTTATACCCAGGAGTGTCTTTGAGTTTGTTTCTCTAGTCTACCCAGACTAACACAGGCTTCATCCTGTACAGCAGCAGGGGGTGAACAGGGAGCTGGGACGTGTCTAGGGTGTAAGAAACAGTAGGGGGCCATGCAGATTGTGCTAAAGGGGAAAGCCAATGGCCCTGCCAATCATTTCCCTCTGCAGAGATGTGGGTCCAGAGTTGCCAGATACATTGCTTTGGTAAGAGAAGTGTGTTAGTCCCGGTTGACTAGAGGAACAAATCCAGAGACACTCATATGTTTGTAATTGAGAAATGTATATCAAAGAGAAATTATATATTAAGAAAACATCAACACCTGGTCCAGAGCAAGTCCATAAGTCCAATATTACCCCATATGTTGATACTAGTCCATAAATTCCTCTTTAGACTCATGCGGCCATGCAATGACGCAGAATGCAGGAAGATCACAGGCCAGTGGGTGGAAAGTCTCGTGGATCCAGTGGTGATGGAAGCATCTCAGCACTGGCTTGGGTCTCCACATGTCTCCTCTAGCTCCAGGGCTCTGGCTCCATCAGCGTAGCTCCATCTGGCTTGTCATCAGGAATGTCTTGCAGCGAGAGAGGGTGGGTCTGGTCTCGAGTGAGCTTTTAATCTCCGTTGTGCCTCCAAATGAGGTCATCAAGCTGTGACCTGATTGACATCTAGACTCCACCCCTTTACATGATGACAGATTATGTAACTGCCACAAGAAGCCTGAAATATAAATCAGCGTGTGGAATTCCTTGATTCCATGCTGGCAATGAATTAAACATGTTTCCAGAG